GTGGATGACCACGCATAAGTTTATTTATACGTTTTCTCCCCCTTCCCAATGTGCTAATGTGGGTTGCAAGTGCTTGCTATGTGTTATGTGTGCATGATACCCCAATTTGGTTGCGATCAATTTGGCTATACGGGCATTTGGATGGGTTGAGAACCATACCAACTGTTAACCAGGCCGGTTGCGATTGGTCAGGTATATAAATATTATATAGGGCTGCGGTCCACCGTTTGGTTGTTATCAAACGTTTTACATGAGTTGCGGTTCATAATCTGGTTGCGATCAGAAATACACTTTTGGGCTGCGGTCCACTATTTGGTTGCGATCAAACATTATGATGAGCTGCGGTTCATCGGTCGGTTGCGATCGACCCCTTGTGCTTCGGTACAGGCAGGGTGCTTCGGTGCCATGCCAGAGCTATATGCGCTGGCGCTTCGTGGATGGGCGCGTGAAGGGTCCTGCGGCACCACCAAAGTGTGCTTATGTGCTTGAGATAATGTTGGAATGATGATATGAATGATGTGAAATAATCTTGTGACCTTAAGATATATGCTAGTATCTTTATATGCATGATTATAAATGTTGAATGTGCTTGGCCCTACTTGTTGAGTCTATTCTCGGTTTTTAAACTAGAGTTTCCTAAGTATATATCTTCTGGTTTCAAAATGGTTTTCCTATATCTATGTATATATATATACCTATATTGTATTTAACGCGTTGGAGTGGGTTACCAGTATTAGTCGTTGAACAGATATATTTGGCTTTAAGGAACAGATGAGTAGCTCTGGAGCGCACTAGAGGACCGAGGCTTAGATAGTTAGTTTTCCTTTCGGCCTGCGTGCTATGATGATGTATTGACATTGCTTTGAGGATATTTAGTCAGTATAGCCTGTGCATCTGAGTTCTCCAGCTTAGATGTGGCATAGCACCCCAAAATCTTATGTTTAGTAATGCTCTCTTTCGGAATTAATAATAGTATTACCTTTATTATATAAGTTTTAAAAGTTTCGAAAATCTGGGGTGTTAGACTGGAGGTATAGGTTGGAACTGATATAAGGACGAAGGGGAGCTACAAGGTTGGAAGTTGGTATAAGGTTGGAAGATGGATTGTGTGTTTTGTTGATTACTTGCCAACTGATTGTCTTGAATGCCTTTATTGTCTCTATTTGATATTTATATGTTTATCTGTCTATTATGTCTTGTATCGTGTTCTTAGGAGTTAGGACGCATGCTATTTGTTATGATTATATTGTCGAGTCTATTGTCGTGTCCTGAGTCTTGATCTTGGATTTAAATTAGAGTCTCGTAGGTTATATATGTATTCCGGTTTCAAAATGATTTTCCTATATCTACCTATATTGTACTTAACGCGTTGGAGTGGGTTACCAGCATTTTTCGCTGACGGTTGTCACACCGCATGTATTTCAGGTACAGATTAGTAGCTTGGAGTGCGCTAGTTGGATTCCCTGGATCTAGTTTGGATAGTCTTAGATTTAGTAAGACGGCCTGCGAGCCTTGATTTATACGTAATTATGGATTTATGTTCAGATTAGTTAGTTTAGTCTATGCATTTAAGTTCTCCAGCTTAGATGCGGCATAGCACCCCGACTATTATGTTCCGCTTATGCTCTGTTTGGGGATTTATCAATAGATTTGCCATTATTTCATAAGATTAAAAGTTTTAAAAATTAGGGGTGTTACCATGTCCTTCCCACTCCCCACTCCGACAACGGCGCTACGGGGGAAGCCGACGGCGGCGCTACGGCCGCAGCCAAAATGGAAGGTCAGATTCCAACGGCAACTTACCAAAGCATACGCGACGAAGAGAGGAAATTTCTTAGAGAGAGGGTTTTTCCTTTCAAAAGTGTTCACTCATGCTGTGACTTGAAAATAATTAATTTACACATCTATAAATTTGCTTTCATGTGAACGTGATGAACAGAACAAACTCATCTTGATTAAACCTGTCATCAATCCCCTTAATTTTTAGAGGGTCATGAGAGTTAGCTAACCGCCCTTTTCCTCCCCAGCTTTCTCTCACCCAACATTTAATTTTTATATTATATTATTTGTTATCATATGATTCGGTAAAAACTATAAATCTAAAGATTTTTTCAAGACAAAAACATGTTATATTCTATGAATATGTACCTAATTTTTTTTTGTGTTCGGAATCGGGTCACCTCTTCGTTACCAACAACCAGCAGGTAAACAACAATATTCGCCGCGCTCAAAGGAGAAGATCAGAAGATTGTGCTTTTGTCCTACTTTCTTGTTCATTTTCAATTTGTATACCATTAAGAACACACAATGAAAGTGCTGGCGAGATTAATTTTCTACAGGTCGGAAAAAAGATTCAAATTCCTGACCTTTCTTAAGGAATGAGAATGCACTACCACTCATGCCATCCAAGCTGGGTAATGCTATATGTCTCTGTCCAACTATATCGGCATTAAACAATATAATGTCCAAACCAATTTACTTTTGGACTTAATATGAGGAATTCATTCTACTTGGCTAGCTAAAAGTCAACATAATTTGCATCTTTGTTGAATGATTATATTTATTCTAAAATGTTTTCCTTATACAATTCCGTCAAACACAAGTCTCTACTATTAATAAAAACAAAATCCTCAATTTTAATTTTCTGCCCAAAATAGTATCATACTATTAAGGTTTGGATAATATTGTAAATTAGTGTAATATAATTTTTTAATAGAATATATTATTCTATACTTTCCTATTCACTAGTACAGAATAGAGCAAAGAAATTCTACTTTAAGCTACCCTTCTTTAAACAAGGGTAGTGTATTATTTAAAAAAAAAAAAAAAGGGCGGTGGCATAATTGTAATTAAATGAATAAGAAATCGCTACCCTTTCTAAAAGAAGGGTAGCGGTAAAAAAAAAAAAAAAAAAAAAAAAAAAAAGAAGGCGGAAACGATATTATAAAAAAAAATTAAATTAAAAAAACCTAACCCTCGATCGTACAAGGCGTTCTCCATCCTCTCACCGCTCACATCTCACAACCGCATCTCACACCCTCGATCACCTCGACGCTAGCCTCGACTGACTCGATCACCTCACCGCATCGCCGGCGAGGACACGACCTCGACCACCGTCTCATCGTCGCTTCACCGCCCCACGCCCTCATCCGCCGTCTCCACCGCCACAGGGTCGCCGCCGCTGCTTCAATCCGCCGACGCGCCGCTGCTTCGAACCATCGCTCCAGACGCTGATTCGTCCATCAGGTAAGGTTAATTTTTTGTTTAATTTGTTTTTTGTTGTTATTTTTGATATAATTACAGTAGAATTATTCGGCTAAAACCCTTAACACCTCCAGCAACAATGGCATTTACAGAACAAATTAAAAAAGCCCAAGCAGAGGTAAGCTATGGACTATTCTTGAGAATAAAATTGCTTACCTTTGGGTTGTCGGGGCAGAGAATTTATATCTTCTTCAATAACTTGTTTTATACTTCATTGCATATTCTTTCCCAAGCAGAGGCTTGTTTTTAAATCAATTGAACTTGTTTTATACTTCACTGCATATTCCTTCTTTCCCAAGCAGAGGCTTGTTTTTAAATCAATTGTCTCCTGTGCTGCGAGTTTAATAGTAATATTACCAGTAATCCCACGTTTAACTATATCCTTTATTCTTTATTAACATGACATATTCTTATTGGTTTTGAAAAACAAGTGAGCTTAAGTTTTTATACATTTCATTTTATTAGTCCAATAAAATGTGGACATGTTTTACTTTCTTGAAATACACTTAGGGGGATATTTGGTTCACCGAATGTTAGATTACCGTAGGGATGTTAGATTATTCTGTTTGGTTAAAAGTGAGCTACGTAATATAAACATGTCTGGTTGAAGAGTTATTTATTTATTTTTTTAGGAGTATTTTTGTTATCGTACTGTACTACTTTTAGCCTGTAATCAGAAATCAGAAGGCATTATTTGAGCTGCCAGTTGTTTTCAATCTTTCTTTGTCTTCTATCTTGGTGGGTAATAATCAATTGAGACTTCCATATGTTTATGTCATTTTTTAGGATTAGCCTATGATTTTGTAGTTTGTATTTCAACTACTGTATTCTGCTTATTTTATTAACTCCAGTAAGGATGAAGGAGGAACTCTAAAATGCTAACCCCTATACCTTTAATGAACTAAGGACTTGTTAGACTACAACTGTAGCGTTTATGTGTCAAATAAAGACATGGTCCAATGCATTCTGAATTTGCTTATGAGACTTGCAGTATTTTTATTCTGAACTTTTAGCACCAGCCTGATATGAACTTAAATGCTTATGTAATCAGAAGTCATGAACTTTATATATGTTTTGACGGGTTATATCAGATGTTCTGGAGTTTGATAAATGTATCACTTTAGAGTTCTTTTCTTCCGTTTCTTATAAACAACACTCACAAACACATGCATAATTGGGCAGATGGAGGAGGCCTCAGGGGGTTGGTGAAAGCAACTTCCAAGAATCACTTAGCACATGTAGATGTATCTTGCTGAACAGGCAAATCATCTTCAACACTTCAAATATAGTAATCTATTTGCTTAATCTGCATGCATATCTGTGTCGACTGGCCTTGATCTATGAGTTTATGAGTCAATACCCATTTTGTCCCTCTGACTATTGAGTATTTTTAGTTAATCTCGACAATAGAGTGCATAATATGCATAAACTATCATCTTATAGAATTTATTTTTTCCATTGATATAAAGCAGTTGAGTAAGAGAATGTTTCAAAGAACTACAGTGACTAAAGTCTAATTATTCACTAAAGTCTAATTAATGACTAAAGTCTTGGTCACTAGTAAGTCATGGAGATGATATTTTTTTTTGTGGGATAAACGGATAAGTATTTTGATTACGGAGTAAGTAATTTGATTTCAATTCAAATCACTTAATTAATAGTGTTTTGAAGTGCGTCCATAATCGAGTATCCATATCTACACAGTACTTAGAGTAGCATTGTATCAATTGACAGATATGGATCGAAGTTGGATGCATGAGAAACAAACTACATTCAAATATATGCAAGGAATTCAAGAGTTCATACAATATGCTGAAGAAAATAGGAGTAAAAAGGCGGAAGACTTTATTGTGTGCCCGTGTTGTGATTGTAAAAATTTTAGAAGATATCCTAGTTCTGATGAAGTGAAGATCCATTTGATACGGCGTGGTTTTAAGGAAGGATACGATCGATGGATATGGCATGGTGAAAGCTTAATTCTAAGTACAAGCGCTAGTAAGGAAGCTCAATTAGATAGTGAAACTCATGTAGACTGTGAAACTCAGGCAAATAGACAAACTCATGAAGATAATGAGGGGAATAATGAAACTCGTGCTACCGAAAATGAGGGCGATGAAGATAATGACCGAATAGATGAAATGATGCGTGATGTGCAGGGAGATTTTAGTGAAATGCCTCCTGAATTTAAAAGTTTGTTTGACAATGCAGAAAAACCTTTGTTCTCTGCATACACTAAATTTTCTAAGTTATCTGCTGTGCTTAAATTATACAATGTAAAAGAACGAAATGGATGGAGTGATAAGAGTTTCACGGAACTATTAGAACTACTAAAAGACATGATTCCTAGTGATAATGAGCTTCCTAATTCAACTTATGAAGCAAAAAAATTGTTGTGTCCGTTGAGTGTGGACATTGAAAGGATACATGCATGTTCAAATGATTGTATATTGTATTGGAAAGAATACAAAGACTTGCATGTGTGTCCAAAGTGTGGGACATCACGTTATAAAAAGAAAGATGTTGATGATGTGTGTGAGAATAAGAAAGGTCCCCCAGCCAAAGTATTATGGTATTTACCAGTAATACCAAGATTTAAACGCATGTTTGCTAATCCAAGAGAGGCAAAAAATTTGCAATGGCATGCTATTGGAAGAAAAGAAGATGGAAAACTGAGGCATCCAGCTGATTCACCTCAATGGAGGAATATTGATAGGAGGTAGCCTGAATTCGGTTGTGAAAATAGGAATCTTAGACTTGGATTGTGTACGGATGGAATGAATCCTCATGGTAACATGAGCAGTCGACATAGTACTTGGCCAGTTCTTTTAGTAGTCTACAATCTTCCACCTTGGTTGTGTATGAAACGGAAGTACATCATGTTGTCGTTGTTGATATCAGGGCCTAAACAACCAGGCAATGACATAGATGTATATCTAGCGCCGCTTATTGAGGATTTAAAGATGCTGTGGAATGAAGGTGTGCAGGTGTATGATGCTTATACACGAAGCAACTTTACGTTACGTGCAATGATCTTTTGCACAATAAATGATTTCCCAGCATACGGTAACCTATCAGGTTATACTACTAAAGGAGCTAAGGCATGTCCTATTTGAGAGTATTGTATGTGTTGAAAGTATTTGGATGGATTATGATAGTGTTGAAATTGTATTATTGATAATATTGTGTATGTTAGGTTGATCGATGGGAGTATTGTTTTTATAATATTGTGTTGATATATATTTAATTTGTCAATATAAATTTGTACATGATTTTTTTAAAAAAATTGGGAATTTTAAAAATAATAAATTATTTTTAAAATAAAAAAACAAATCCGCTACCCTTTATGTGAAGAAAGAGTAGCGAATGAAGTAGTAACATAAGCACTAATCCGCTACCCTTCTATCAGAAGAAGGGCAACGGATATTCTAGTAATCCACTACCATTCAACAAGGGACGCGGGAACATATAGGGTTTCCGCGACTCTCGTATACGCTACCCTTGTACAAGGGTAGCGGATAGCCCTGTACAAGGGTAGCGGATTTACAAATCTGTATTAGTGATTCGTACTACAATTATACATCAAAATTATATTCTAATATTGTAAATAGTGTAATACAATTCCTAATAGCATATATTGTTTCTTACTTCCCTATTCGTACTACAATTCTACAGGACACCTTTTTAGCTTGAATTTTTAATTAACTAGACAAGTATATTAATAATATACGTGATTAAAAATTGAAATCAACCATATATTATTTTCAAAATGTTAAAAGTCTACCATATAAGAGTTTCTGTGCATTATACTATAGAATAACAAACTTACTCTACACACGGAAAGTTTAATAATTTACATAATAATAATAATAATAATAATAATAATAATAATAATAATAATAATAATAATAATAATAATAATAATAATAATAATAAAAATCAGAATGCTTGATAACATTTTTTGAAAATAAAATAATAAAATTATTTTGTCACTACTCCATTTCAACAATATTATTCCTATTCTTATTCGTACTACAATTCTACATTAAAATTTCTATTTGTAATAAATACAACAATATTAAAATTCATATTCCTATTCAATAATATTATTCCGTCACTACTCCAATTCGTATAAAAAAAATGCAAATCGAAATCTCACCATAATACTTTCGAATCTGCAAAATATATACAACAATACTTTTCTTTCGATTCTTCAAATCGTAAACAACCATATTATTCTTTCACTAATGGGGTCTATTTTTGTCTCTACTTCCGAGTTATCCCCCAAGACGAGAAAAAGTTGTATAAGACACTGCGGGAAATTATGAAATTTTCGACCACCTGAAAGTGATCTTAAATCAAGTCAAAATCCTTGTTCCGACCACTTTTGGTGTAACACCCCAGATTTTCAAGACATTTAAAACTTATAAAATAAAGGTGAAATCCCATTAAATCCCAAAACATAATACAAGAGTATGGGGTGCTATGCCACACCTGAGCTAGAGAACTCAGGTGCACAGGCTAACTAACTAATATCCTCAATAATGTAAAGGCATAAGCATGGCACGCAGGCCGAAAAGGGAAACTATCTACTTCTACGTTCCAAATTCTAGCGCGCTCCAGTGACTTATTCTTCTGTGCCTGAAAGCCAAATATATCTGTTCAGCGAGAGATGCTGGTAACCCACTCCAACGCGTTGAAATACAATACATATAGAGATATATATAGATATACGAAAACCATTTTGAGCATGAAGATATATCCTACGAAATCTAGCTTTTAAAACCGGGAATGACTCGACAGATAAGGCCAGACACGAGCAACAGTTATAACAACATATGCAGTTCACAACAGATAAGGCAGATAAGGCAAAGCATAAACAATGATCATAACCCAACATGAACAATCCCCAATATAAATCCCATAGTCACATCCCCCGAGACACTCGTAATCACAACTCGTCCAGGTCACAACACATAACACACTTTGTTGGCGCCACAGGACCAATCGCATGCCCATACATGAGGGTCAGCGCATATAGCTCTGACACGGCCCCGCAGCACCCTGCCCCGTATCGCAACACGGAGGGGTCGATCGCAACCGACCGATGAACCGCAGCTCATCATAGTGTTTGATCGCAACCAAACAGTGGACCGCAGCCCAAGAGAATGTCATCTGACCGCAGCCAGGAAAAAGGACGAACCGCAGCTCGTATAGAAACGTTTGATCGCAACCAAACGGTGGACCGCAGCCCAAGAGTATCAATCTGACCGCAGCCAGCTTCTGAACCGCAGCTCAGGATAACCAATCCGATCGCAACCGAATTGGGGTAACACACACATAACACATAGCAAGCACATGCAACCCACATTACACATTAGGAAGGGGAGAAAACGTATAACAAAACCTATGTGTGATCCATCACATACTAAGAATAGTCCTAAGGGGTTCATACTCCTTCCACCAAGGTCAACGGGATACCAATTCAACTAGCATGCAATATAATAGACTCATAAACCTACGAACGGTACCCGAAATATCAAACTAGACATAGGCACGATAAACGGAGTCCGTTGGGACACCACGGGGAACGGGGAAGCCGGGATCCCGGGTGGGATGAAATACCAGCGGGTAGCCGGTGGGTGGGGGCCACCCGCCGGCTGCCCACCGGAGAATACTGTTCCGGGCAGCGGGTCGCCGGCAGGCAGCTGCCCGCCCGCCGGCCACCCGCTGCCGGGCGTTGTTTCACGGCCGTGGGTAGGTGGCGGGTCCCCTACCCCCCACTGACTCTTTTCACACACTTTACGCCCCGGGAACCGTTGTGGAACCCGAAACCATGCTTAGACACTTTACAACGCAATTAACGACAACACGTAGACAATTAACGAATCGAATACAAGAAATGAAGGGCACATAACCTATCATGCTTTTCTAAATATAATCAACACCCAAACGTGCGATTTCCCCACCCGATAATCCAAGAATAAGATCGTACGATACAACCTAGGGTTCTAATCACTTTTATATCAACAAGAATACGGTTCGTCTTCTAATTGCAAGATTCGGTAAGAATAACACATAAACATCAAGAGCATCACACAATTATCAAGAACAACACATAATCATCAAAAACTCCATATAATTATCAAGAACCTCCCAATATCAAGATCATCAAGATCCCCCATGGGATCATCACATCAATTACCAATAATAATCATCATAACTCGCCAATATACAATAATATGGGGAAACCCTAAGGGAGAATTATAACTATGAAAATAGGTTTTGTTGAGACATGGGTTACCTCTTAGCCTTAATTAATTCCTTGGCTATGAAGGGTCTTTCTTTAAGCTTTCTTGATTTCTTATAAGGGAATTCTTGGAGCTCTTTTGGGATGGTGAGTCGTTTATTGTGATGGGGGATTCTAGGTGCCTCTTAAGTCCCCTATTTATATATTTTGGAGTCCTAATTAGGAACAAATATTATAGGCTTCCTAATTCTATTCCTTTTGGGACTAAGGATTGGGTTCCATGGTCCATAGTGGACTGTATTAATTAATTAAAGAGAATCCTAATCATAATCTGAATAGTAAAAGACCTACTTCCTTTATTCCTAATAGATAACTAGGTCTAGGATTCCTAATCAGAATCTGAATAGTAAAAGGTTTACTTTCTTTATTCCTAATAGGCTTAAGGCTCTAATTTAGGCAAGGGTCCACGGTTCATGGTGGGCCTTATTAATTAATTAAAGGGAAACCTAACCGAATTAAATCATATTTAATTATTATTAACGGAATTAATTAAATAATTAATCCGAGATTGAAGGCCGTAACACGGGGTGTTACACTCTCTCCCCCTTACGAGAAGCTTCGTCCCCGAAGCTTGGAAATCATTGCAGGGTTAACGAGTCAAGAGAAGAACCGTGGTCCTATAGAGAAGGTATTCCACGGGGAAATTGTATACTTGCACGCCTATGTGTGTTGGGTTTTTGGGAACGATTAGGTTTACAGGGCTAAGAGAGTGGGTTTCAAACTTGAGGACACGGTGAATTCAGGAATTAGGATCGAGTTTTCGAGGTTGCAACTTAGGTTGTGAGGTTGCCACTTGTATGGAATCGTTAAAACATGGGATTAAGAATGGGGTCTGAAGGGTAGAAAGGGTTTTGAAATAAGGAAGGGGCCGATTTTCCGAGGGAGGGAAAGGAATTCGGCTAGGATGGGTTAAGGTTTCTCGATCCCAAGTGAATAATCTGGTTAGATGCTTTGATCACGATGCGCTGACGAGCTGATGATCCTCCTTCCTTGGTGTTGGTGCTTGCTTGACTTTAAGGTCCTTGTTAGACCTTGCTTCCCAGGCTAAGGTTTCATCCTTCTCTTCTTTCTTGAGGGAATTTCCCGTGGTGATTCAACACTTACTTCTTTAATGCGCCCAAGGTCTTGACCGAGTTGGGTCAACCAAGCCAATCTCTTAGGGCGCACTTCCCAAATTCTTCCCAAAGTCTCTTGGGAGTTGATGGACTTTGGGTTGAATTTCTCTTCTTATTGAATTTCATCTCCTCTTTAGTGGATGAAATTCTTAGTAAGACTTCATGTCTTACCCGAGGTTCAGCATTGTTGTGCCCTGTTTGTGTTATTTTTAATGATGAAGGTGTCCTTGCGTGCCCTTTTTCTTTTAAAGCGCAGTCGGTTACCAAATTTCGTTGTGGGATGACTCGGCGACTTTACGAGTCACCTCATTTCCTTGTGGGTCCTTAATGACCCTTGAAGTCTTGGCGCGAATGTGTTCTTCACCCTTTTGCTTAGCACCATGGGCTACGTAGTTCTTGATTCCATACAACTTGTAAGGAGTCCTCTAATTTGCTCGAACGATGTCCATGGTTTGGAGGAGTCCCGGTCCCTCCTTAGCATTTTGACTTTTAAGGTTTTCGTGGGTTCTTAGTACGAGTTCCCAACTCGCCTCCTTGGTTTGCGCAATCCTTTACGCCAAACATCCCTAGTCGGTTGTATCGTAGGATCCGATTTCAATTACTCGTGCAATGTAATTGATTGTGATTTCCCGATGGTGTCTCGTGCGTCAAGGTCTTTTACGTAGGACACTATGTTTGGGTGGTCCATGGT